TGAAAATGGCAGAAGCAGAGGCTCAAATCCTCATTCACTTTCCTTTAAAATCCCTCAGATCCACACCCCTGACCACCATCTTTAATCCATTCACTACTGCATGGTCCTACAACCTAATCATCTCTTCAAGGCCCCACCTTTCAATTACCATAATAGGGTTTCCCACTCTCAGCAGTTACATTGGGTATTAAGTTTTGGGGTGACATTTAACCCAAGGCATAGACCAACTATTTTTTTCTTCCATTAATTCTTAATATAGGTCTCTGGGCAACCTATGGATTCACTTTCTTCAGTCAGGGGCCATACCCTGATGAAATGCACTGTGGTGACCCAGGGGACAGTGCTTCTTACAGGCCTTCCTGTTCTGCTTAAGCAAACAAGATGCTCACGCACACCATCAGATTAAAGGAGATAGTCAGCAGATGCTACAATTGATCAGAGCCAGAGGAAAATGTCTGCCAGGGGCCTGTGGGGGAGTGCAATTTGAATTAAACCTTGAAAGAGACTTTGACTTAAAAAAAATTGGTAGGAGAAATCATTCAATTTAAACAGCTTGCATTTAATCTGCATAGTGACTACCTACCACATGTGGGGCCCTGCATCAGTGCCATGGTGGACAGAGAATGGAACCATTAGAGCATAGAGTACGGGTGATAAACGGAATCTTGAACCAAGTCCTTCAGACCAGGGAGGACCATGTGGAGGGATGCAGTCTTCCTTGGGGTAGCTGAGAAGACTCTAACAAGAAGTGCTAAGCAGCAGGGCCTTAGAGGTTGAGCTGGGCACTGTAGGAGTGTGGGGTGGGCCTAGACAGAGCTGACCCAGGATCTCTAGGTCTGGTGACTGGGTGAATGAGAAGTGATCACACTATCCCAAAAAGACAATACAAGAAAAGAAGTAGACTTGAGGAACTAGATCAGGATCAGCAAACTTTTTTGGTGAAGGGCCAAATAGTAGATATTTTCAGGCTATGCAGGCCATATGGTCTCTGTTGCAACTATTCAATGCTGCCATTGTAGTATAAGAGCAGCCATAGTTAATATATAAATGAATGGGCGTGTTGATGGTCTAATAAATCTTTATTTACAAAAGCAGGTGATGGGCCAGATTTGGCCCATGGCTGACCTCTGGAGTAGATAAGTTACTTGGACATGTGGAGTTTGAGATGCCACTGGGACATTCTTGTGGGATATCCAACAGACTAAGTCATGCAGCTCAGAAGAAAGATTGGAATCAGTTGCAGAAGTCTACACTTTGTATCTTCTCATTAATTTGTCCTCCATTCATTGATGTATATGTTTATATGTTTGTGTATGGCAGTAATTTCCAAACAGATTAAACTACCTGTTTTCTGTGATAAACTGAGTACAGATTCAAAATTATCAAATTGAAAAATCTATTTCTAAATAATTTAAAAGTCTGATTATTG